TGTACCCCAGTCCCTGCCTTGCTTTCTCCCGCCTCTGTGTCAGCTTCTGTCCTGCTTCTTAATCGCGAATGCATGAAAGAAGCTGCAAACTGATGCTCCCGAGCGTTTGAGATCTTGCTCCCCAGCACATGTTGTGAGTTTGGCTCAAATAAACTCTTATAAAACTTTTCTCCAGGTTTGGACATTTCTGCCGTGGACAGGGCGCATACAGGGGGCTGCTGTGTCTCCCCCGTGAGCTGAGGAGGGGCACTGTGGCAGGCTCAGAGTTCCCAGGCCTGGAGTCGGGGGGAGCTCAGCAATATTCCTTTCCCTCCCCTTTCCCTTCTCTCTTCAAACAGAACACCCCGAGGAGTTCAGGGCCACACAGAGGGTATGGAAGCCTGAGCAAGACAGAGGGAGAGGGGAAGGGGGTGTTCCTGCTGCCCCCATTAGTCCCTCCGGGAGCCCGGGGTGTGCATTGAGTGTCCCTGGTCAGCGTGCCCCAGTTCGGCCCCGTCCTACCTGCTCGGTGGCCCAGCTCCATGGACTCTTGCTCCAAGCTTAGTCCTGTAAACAAAGAAACACATTCCATGGTCTCAGATGACACAGAGGCTCCCTGAATGGGGATAAGCTGAGAGCGGAGCAAGGAGGCCTATGGCCATCTGCCCAGCCCCTGACCAGAGGTCCCGCATTCTGCCTCTAGTGCTCTCTGGCAAACAGTGAGCCCCCTGCGTCGTCCATCCACCACCCATGGCACTGGGCCTGCCTCCTGGACCCCTGCAGGCCCAGTCCTTTCCAGAAATCCCTGGTCATTCCCTCCCCTCACACACATCCCTCCACCATGAGTGCCTCAAAGGCCTTGCTCAACCAGCCTGAGGGACTGGGCCCCTCTTCCTCCCCCTCCCGCTCTGCACTACCCAACGCCCCCTGGCTGTGAGGCTGTGAGGTGCATCGCCTCAAGTCCCCCATACTGGCGACTATTTGCCTCCCTGCAAATAGGATGTTGTTAGTTTTACCAGCTGGTCATTCAAGCTCAAGGGGAGGGAACCAACTTGGCCAGCTTTGTGTTCCCTTTTCCCAGGTGATCTTTTTCTTATTCAGATTCTCTTATTTTATCACATCTTTTTTTAAGTTTTTGTGAATTTTGGAATATAAATAAAACAATGTATTGTGTAACAGATGTTTAGTCCCTAGACCTAGTGGCTTCAGATCCAGTAGGTGGAGCCTAGAAAGATTTTGAGAAACACAACAGAAAAAACCTAGATTGCCTTGAACAGACTATTAGTAGAAATCTGGATTTGGAGGATGCTGCTACTGAAGGCACAAAAGAAAGTGAGGGACATGTTATTAGAAGAAAGGATGTCCTCGTGATGTAGTGACAGAAACTTAGGATATGGCTGCCTATGATCCCTAGTTTTGTGGAAAGCAAAATGTGTGACCGACTGGGTGATCTACAAAGGAGATGTCCAAGCAAAGTATTGAAGGTGCCTCCTGATTTCTTCCTGCTACTTGTAGTGAAATGTGAGAGGAGAGAGAGAAATTGAAGGACTGGCAAAGAAACAGGCATCAGGACTTAATAATATTGGAAATTCTCATCCACTCCAGATGCCAAAAGATGCTAAAATTAAGAAATGGGTTCAGGGCATCGTCAGGAAAATGTAGCCAAGAGTGTGACTATAAGACCTTTTATTAAAACCTTAGAGAGATGAAAGGATCAGAATATTATCCAGTCAAACAATGGGCCCTTACAAGAGGCAAAAATATGCATCACAGATTCTCTTAATGGAAGAATAGGTCCTATAGGAAGCTTAAGAGTGCTCTCTCTCAGCAGGAGATCCAATGGAGAAGACTTTTATCTACAGAGTGTCACAGTTTTTGAGAAAACTGTATTTGCAAAAGTACTATCAGCTTGGGTGACGGGAATACAAACAGCTCAAAATGAAAAGAAACCAGTGGACTCCCAGATTCTACTGGCAGATAGTAGCCTGAGAAAATTACTCAACTGCAAACATGCACCACATTTTTTAAAAAGTGTGTGGGGTGGGTAACTTAGAGAGAGGAAGCAGGGATTCATAGGGCAGAGCTGAGAGATATGGAGAATTATTTCAATGGCTTGAAACCTAATAAGGAAAGTCCAACGTTTGTGTGGCTGGATTTCAGAATTGCTATGGACCAGTGACTCCTTTGTGTCTCTATTTTCCTCATTTTTGAATAGGAATGTCTGTAGCTCTTCTTTTATGTCAGGTATGTTCAGGGCAGATTATTTTCACAGATATACCTATGCAGAAGGACTGAACTCAAGAAGCGACGCACCTCCATGATTGATTTATAGGGCCAGATTCTAGCTTTTAAGCTGATGTTGTAATGGGATGAGACTTTTGGAGATCTTGAGAGGGGATGAATGTATTTTGCATTTGGAAGGGATGTATATCATTTGGGGCTAGAGGTGGACAGTTGACATGGCTCCAGTATTCGCCCATTTGGGTAATTCCACTGGTCCCCACCACAAGTGTGGGCTGGATTTGTTGACTTGCTTCTAACTAGCAGAATATGGCAAAAGCAATGAGATGCCACTTCCAAGATGAGGTCATAAGAGATTGTGACTCTGTCCTGTCCACACCCTCTCTGGCTCGGTCCCTCCGATGGAATAACTTTCATATTGTGAGCTGCTCTCTGGAGAGGCCCACAGGGCAAGAAACTGAAGGCGATCAGCCCCTTGTGAGAAACTGAGGTCCTCAGTTCAACAATCCACGAGAGTGGCCTGAAAGAAGGCCTTCTCTAATTGAACCTTGAAATGAGACTGCAGCCCCGACCAACACCTCGATCACAGTCTGGGAGAGATCCCGAGACAGAGGACCCATTCAAGCTGCATTTGTATTCTTGACCCACAGAAACTACGAGATAATAAATGCTGTTGTTTTAAGCCACTAAGTGTCAGGGTGATTTGTTATACGGTCTACTGGTTTGTCTATCTTCGCAAGGACTCAGTGAGGTGTTCGGAGAAACCCTTAACTCACCCTCTTCATAGATAGAGAAACTGAAGCTGAGGAAAACAATAGGACTTCACCCAGGTGGTGCTGAAGCCAAACACCACAACTTTTATCTCCTTTGAGTGAGTTTTCTGCTCCTGTCCTCACTCCCCATCACCAGCCCCCCACTAGGAGTACCACAGCAGCTCCCCATCTGCCCCCCGGGCACCCCTAGTCCAGAGCAGCCTGGATGGGCTTGGACAGAAATGTGGACTCACTGCCAGTTTCTGACCTGGAGAGAAGGTCCCGAGAGATGCTGGTCAAGAAGGGAGGAAAAGAAAGTCCAGTCGAAGTCTGGGCGCTGGCTCTTCACTCATAAGCAACTCTGAGTGGGGAGAAGGAAGATGAAATGTGTTACGAGAGACCCCTGGCCCATCTTACGAGTCTCTGCCTGACCTCTCCACTCTCTTTCATAATGTCAGAAAACACGTGAACCACTCTGGTGTGTGCCGAAGCCCAGGAGTGTCGTCGATCTGCACGGCACAACTGCTGTGAAAGCCAATGGACGGTTGCTAGGGAGCAGCCCTCCCTTGTTGTTCATTGGAGTTGCCATGGTGATCACTATACACAGGGCTCTGTTACCTCAGAGGGCTGATAGGCCCACCCTGGGGAACCGAGGCCATAGAAAGCCAGTACTGCCCCCTGAATACTCACCTTGTGCCAGGTTGTGTGCCAGGCACAGAAGGCTCAGATGCCATCAAATGGGAAGGACATTCCTGGGATTACTAAGTATTACATAGAGTAATTAGTTCTGTCTAGGAAAAAGGAGCAGGGCCATCACAGAAGGGCCATTTGATCTAGATTTTGAAGGATGCATAGGAGCTCAACAGTTTAGAAGGGACTCAAATATCAAAGGCATGGATATGTTTGTGAGCGTAAATGTAGGTCAAGGGGAGTGGGGAGGGAAGAAGGAGAGATTCACCTGGAGTTGTCTGAGCTGGCTGTGAAGGAATCAGAGACCAAAGAGTGGAATTAGAGCAGGGGTGGGACCGTGAGGGTCTACTCTGCTCCACTCGAAACAGAAAGGCTATGGAAGATTAAGTAAAGTGACGTGACTTCTGCGGTTCGTGCCAGCGGCAGCTCAGTCTTGTTTGGCTGTTGCTCAGCAGGGGTGGGGGTCCAGGGTATGCCTCTTGCATGCCTCGCCTTATGGGGCCTCCCCAGGAAGCAGAGCGCATTGTGGTTAAACTTGGGGTCCCCCAAGTCTGGGCCTGCCGTAGTAGAAGAGTGACTTAGGCCAAGTTCTTTAGCTGAACTTTCCTCATACGTGAAACAGATATAACCTACCTCCAAGGGTCAGAGTGAGGACTGAACAAAGTCATTTTTGTGAAATGCCTAGAACATTGCCTACACAGAGAGACATCCCCTATAGCTCGAAGCTGACCCTGTAAGTGATCCATCAGCACGGCCTTCAAAGGACACGACTCAGACCCCTTTATCCACCTCCATGTCTCCCCCCAGACCCCAGTCGAAGCCACCACCACCTCTGGCCTGGGTTAACACACTTGCCTCCTCGCTGGTCTCCTGTTTCTGCTCTCGTCTCTGTATTAACCGCCCGTTGGCACGGAACAGTGCTGGCGAGCCTCAAGGATGCTGCGGACTCAGTTGCAGACCACCACAATAAAGCGGAGAGTGCAATAAAGTGAGTCGCACGAATGTCTTGGTTTCCTAGCGCGTGTGAAAGTTATGTTTCCCCTATCCTGTAGTCCGTTTAGTGTGCAATAGCGTTATGTCTAAGAACACCAATGTACACACCTTAATTAAAAAATACTTATTGCTAAAAAATGCTAACCATCATCTGAGCCTTCAGCGAGTCATCATCTTTTTGCTGGTGGAGGGTCTGGCCTCTATGCTGATGGCTGCTGACTACCAGGCTGGTAGTTGCTGAAGACTGGAGTGCCTGTGGCAATTTCTTAATATAAGACAATAACGAAGTTTGCCGCATCAACTGACTCTGCCTTTCATGAATGATTTCTCTGTGGCATGAGATGCTGTTTGATAACGTTTTACCCACTGTAGAACTGTTTTCAAATTTGGACAATGGGGAGGAGGGAACCCCCAGTAGGTGGGGTCAGGAATCATCCTAATCCTCAGAGGGTTTAGAGAGCCTGTTTCTGGAAAACTGGATGTCCAGCCAAGGGGTCCGGTCTACAGGGTGACTTTCTTCTACCATAGCTTCCTGGTTTGCGCTGGCAAAGCTCTAAGACCACCTGCTCCCGCACTCCCCGGGGGGTCTTATTCTGAGCCAAGGTCACCCAAGGCGGTGCCCCCTTCCTTTGGCCTGCTTCTGAGCATCACCTCTTCTGAGGCCTCAGGGCCTGTGTTTGTGACATCTCTTAAACACTCATTTGGAAGGCCACCTGCCCCCACGCCTCTCCCCCGACACCCAGAGAGCTGGGCCTACAGCAGGAGGGATAACGTTTTACCCACTGTAGAACGGTTGTCAAATTTGGACAATGGGGAGGAGGGAACCCCCAGTAGGTGGGGTCAGGAATCATCCTAATCCTCAGAGAGTTTAGAGAGCCTGTGTCTGGAAAACTGGAAGTCCAGCCAAGGGGTCCAGTCTACGGGGTGACTTTCTTCTACCATAGCTTCCTGGTTTCCACTGGCAAAGCTCTCAGACCACCTGCCCCAGCACTCCCCGGGGGAGCCAAGAAGGTCACCCAAGGCGGTGCCACCTTCCTTTGGTCTGCTTCTGAGCATCACCTCTTCTGAGGCCTCAGGGCCTGTGTTTGTGACATCTCTTAAACACTCATTTGGAAGGCCACCTGCCCCCACGCCTCTCCCCCAACACCCAGAGAGCTGGGCCTACAGCAAGAGGGGTTGGTACCTGGCTAGCTATGGTTTCACTTCTCTCTGGCTTACTGGTACACCTTCCAGGTAGGTCCCAGCATGCTCTACCTGACGTGGGACAACAGGTGGCTTCCTTTGTCAAAACTAAATAATAAAGCAGTGCCTTCAGTGTGACTTCCCAGCTGGCTTCCCCAATTGGTGGCTTCTAAGGAATCTGAAGGAGATGGAAGTCTGGGGCAAGGATGGGAGCCAGGGAGAGGTAGGCAGACACAGACTCAGGAAAGGCCATGTTTATTCCAGTGTTGTTGGGGGAAAGGAGGGCTTCACACAGCAGTTCTAAACCTTGTCGATCTCCTTTGCCGAAGAGGTACGAACCAGCTACAGGTCACGCCAGCCTCTAAACTAGTGGGAGTTACGGACAGGTGGAGGAGAAGCCCATTGCTCAGGCCTTCCCATCCTTCTGCTGGGACACACGTGTCTCCGGGGGGCCCCGGCGGAACCACTCGGACCAGGACCCATCATAGATGGCCACGTCAGGCTTGCCGCAGAGGTACGCAGCCAGGGCAATGTGGCAGGCGGTGACACCCTTCCGGCACGTGGCAATGAGTGTCTTTGCAAGGTCCACC